ACGAGGTCAGGAGTTCGAGATCAGCCTGACCAACATGACAAAACCCCGTCTCTACTAAAAAGAGAAAATTAGCTGGGTGTGTTTGCATGTGCTTGTAGTCCCAGCTCCTTGGGAGGCTGAGGCAGGAGAACTGCTTGAACCCGGAAGGTGGAAGTTGTGGTGAGCCAAGANAAAAAAAAAAAAAAATTATTCAACCACAGAAGGAATGAAGTCCTCGCACATGCTACAACATAGATGAACCTTGAAACCATTATGGCGAGTGAAAGAGGCCAAACCCCAAAAGGCCGTATATGGTATGACTCCATTAGCATGAAATGTCCTGCGCAGGCAAATCCACAGAGACAGAAAGCAGATGAGAGGTTGCCAGAGGCAGAGCTGGGGAATGGTTGCTAAGAGGCATGCAGTATCTTTTTTTGTTTTTCTTTTTTCTTTTCCTTTTTTCTTTTAAGGCATGCAGTATCTTTTGGGAAAATGTTCTGGAATGAGATAGTGCTGATTGTTGTATCACCTGGTAAATACACCCCACACCTCCAAATGGTATACTTTAAGAATAATTGGCTGGGCATGGTGGCTCACACCTGTAATCCCAGCGCTTTGGGAAGCTGAGGTGGGTGGATCGCTTGAGGTCAGGAGTTTGAGAGCAGCCTGGCCAATATGGTGAAACTCCATCTCTACTAAAAATACAAAAGTTAGCCAGGTGTAGTAGGCATGCCTGTAACCCCAGCTACTTGGGAGGCTGAGGCAGGAGAATCGCTTAAACCCAGGAGACGGATGTTGCAGTAAGCTGAGATCCCACCACTGCACTCCAGCCTGGGTGACGGAGCAAGACTCCATCTCCAAAAAAAAAAAAATGTTTGAGACCAGACTGGGCAGCAACTTAGTGAGCCCTGGTCTCCAGTGAGTGAGTGAGTGAGTGAATGAATGAATGAATGAATGAATGAATGAATGAATGAAAAAAGAATAATCAATGTCGACTTTCTTGTTGGTAGGAGTGGGGGTTCCAGCAGCTGCAATGCCTCTGACGGGTCCCGTCATTCTTGGAACAGGGTCCAAACTCCAGGCCTTGGCCCTACACTATCCACCACGCCCCTCACTCCAGTCTCATCCCTGACCTTGAGCTCCTCCCGGCCCCACGGTGCCTGAGAGGCTGCCTTTTCCCACCCCCGGCCCTTCCTTTGTACAAGCTACTCCCTCCCCAGGTTTCCTGTGCCAGATCTCAGACCTTAGGGTCAAGGTCACATACTTGGGAAGCCCCCTCTGTTCTAGCTCTGGCCAGGAGCCCTTGGTGTGTGCTCCCGTGGCCGACCTGCCCCACCTGGACTGCTTCCCTGTTCAATGCTCCTCCAGGATCACCAGCAGGGAACCAGGCATCTCGCCTTGGCTGTATGCCCTGCACCCATCTCAGGGCAGCCCACCGTGTAGCAGAAGTGTTGAATATAACAAGGATTTGGGTGCAAGAATCTCACCACTGTAATTCCCATTTTATAGGGAAAGGAGGCTCGGAATTTTCTGGGGGTCACACACGAGGAGGCAGTAGCACTAGGACTTGAACCCAGGCTATGTGGCTCTAGATCAGTGCTTCACAACAGGGGTGATCTGGGCCCGCAGGGGACATTTGGCAACATGTTTCGTTGTCACGCTGGGGAGTAGGGCTGGAGGAATGCTAATGGTATCTTGTGAATGGAGACCAGGGAGGCTGCTAAGCAACTTACAATGCCCAGAACTGCCCCACAGCAGAAAACTTTCCAGGTCAGCAGCGCTGAGGCTGAGAAGCCCTGCTCTGGGGTGTGTGTGCCTGACCACTAGGCTGTCCTGACTCTTCGGTGGCTTCCTCTTCCTCAGGATAAAGGTGAAAGTCCTGACCTTGGATGGCAAAGCTTGGACAACCTGGCTGCTGCTGCCCATTTCTCCAGCCCCACTGGGGTCAGATTCCCCTTTGCCCCCATCACCTGGCCTCCCAGGATCCCTCCAACATCCCAGTCTTCACCCTGCTCAGAGCCAAGATCCCACCGGAGCCCCTGCCTGAGCTGCGCCCACCTAACCGGGTTCGCACAGGTCCCACACCCAGCTGACGTAGTTCCTTCCACTCGCTCTCCAGGGGCCTGCAGACCCCAGGCCTCAGTTGCTACTTCCCTTCACAGTGCTTGCCTAATGAAAGCAAATCCTGGCTTAGCATGGGCAGCAGAACAATGGCTCCCAAAGATGTTCGCGTCCTAGTCCCAGAACCTGTGAATATATCACCTTCCTTGGCAAAAGGGCCCCTGCAGGTGTGATTAAGTGAAGCATCTTGGAATGGGAGATCACTGTGGATCATCGGGGCGATCTCAAGGGTCCTTACAAGAGGGAGGCAGGAGGGCCAGCAACAGAAAGACAGGAAGATGCCACTCTGTGGGCTTTGAAGGGGGAGGAAGGGGCCACGAGCCGAGGAGTATAGGCAGTGCTAAAATCTGGAAAAGGCAAGAAAAAAGGCAAGGAAAGGCAAGGATTCTCCCCAGAGCCTCTGGAAGGGGCCAACCTGCCACCACCTTGACTTTAGCCCCATAAGGCACATTTTGAGGTTCTGACTTCCAGAACTGCAAGATAATAAATGTGTGTTGTAGCCGAGCCAGTGGTCCATGCCTGGAAGCCCAGCACTTTGGAAGGCTGAGGTGGGCTGATCACTTGAGGTCGGGAGTTCGAGACCAGCTTGGCCAACATGGCAAAACCCTGTCTCTACTAAAAATACAAAAACTAGTCAGACATGGTGGCAGGTGCCTGTAATCCCAGCTACTTGGGAGGCTGAAGCAGGAGAATCACTTGAACCCAGAAGGCAGACGTCGCAACAAGCCAAGATCATGCCACTGCATTCCAGCCTGGGCAACAGAACAAGATTCCATCTAAAAGGAAAAAAAGGTGTGTGTGTTGTTGTTGTTGTTGTTTTTAATTGGGCAGCCTCCTGAGCCACGGTAGGTGCAGGGAGGCTCCTGCGTGTTGTTTTAAGCCACTAAGTTCATGGTCATTTCTCCCAGCAGCGACCAGAGGCCGATTATGATAATAACCTACTGAGGGTCTCTCCCGGCCCTTGGTCAATGTCCGCGGACTGAATGCTCAGAAAGGAACGGGCAAGACAGCTGGGCTGGCCCAGGCTAGGCAAGAATCAGGCTGCAAATCTTCACATTTTCTTTCCTCTTTCAAACGTGTGGAATAAAATTCAAATGAATCAGCTATTCCAAGGGCAAAGTTTTAATTATATTCCTGCTTCATTCTCTGCTGACAAGAATGTTAATTCTCTGCTAACTCGGTGCTGACGGCTGCTTTGCAGCTTGGGAGGGGCCCCACATTCCCTCTGGCCAGGTGACCAGGACTCAACCGCAAACTCCTCCCAGGCTCCCAGTCCTCTTCTGTGCAAGGAGCCGGGGTCCCAAGCCCAGGGCCCAGGTGGACGAAGAGCGTCCGCTCCAGGACATATGAGCTGCAGTCCTGGCTTGATGTAACTAGTAGTATGACCACAGAGAAGTGGCTTACCTTGCAGAGCTTATGCTCCTCCTCCAGGAGATGGGGGCAGTGAGGGGACTGATTCTGCAGTGCAGCAGAGAGGAAATGAGACGGCATGCATCTCAGCCGGGCGAGTAAAAGATGAGTGGGCCACGACAGCAGTCAGGCAACAGGGCACAGTGGGGATTGTGGAAAACTGGAGAGCCCGTACCCTTCTGGGAAGCAGCTGCCATCGGCTCTATCCATTCTTTTTTTTGAGACAGGGTCTTGTTCTGTTGCCCAGGCTGGAGTACAGTGGCACAATCTCGGCTCACTACAACCTCTGCCTCCCAGGTTCAAGTGATTCTTGTGCCTCAGCCTCCCGAGTGGCTAGGATTATAGGTGTGCGTCATCATGCCTGGTTGATTTTTGTATTTTTAGTAGAGACGGGGTTTTACCATGTTAGCCAGGCTGGTTTTGAACTCCTGGCCTCGACTGATTCACCCACCTTGGCTTACCGAAGTGCTGGGATTGTAATCCAGCATGAGGCACCACGCTCAGCCTTCATCCATTCTTGCAAGAATGCAACCCAGGGGCTGGAAATATTCTCTCAATTTGAGTCATCATTACACGATGTTGATATATGTAAAAATTCACTCAACTACATACATAGATGTATATACATTATATATTTGTGCCTTGAAACGTAAACAGATTAGAGCATTTAAGGAAATGTGGGCCCAGGGTTATCAAAGCTTCTGAATTTTCAAAAGCTTAAAATGCAGATTTTTATATAAAGTATGCTGATTTTTTTTTTTTTTTTTTTTTTTGAGATGGAGTGTAATGGTGAGATCTCGGATCATTGCAACCTCTACCTCCCAGATTCAAGCGATTCTCCTGCCTCAGCCTCCTGAGTAGCTGGGACTACAGACACATACCACCACACCCCTCTAATGTTCTGTAGTTTTAGTAGAGACAGAGTTTCACCATGTTAGCCAGGAGTGTCTCGATCTCCTGACCTTGTGATCCGCCTGCCTCGGCCTCCAGAAGTGCTGGGATTACAGGTGTGAGCCACCGCGCGTGGCCTAAAGTACCCTGTTGCCCAGGCTGGAGAGCAGTGGTACAATCAAGGCTCACCACAGCTATGGCCTCCTGGGCCCAAGCTGTCCTCCCACCTCAGTCTCCTAAGGGGCTGGAACCACAGGCATGCACCACCACACCTGACTAAGTTTTGTATTTTTTAGAGAGATGGGGTCTTGCCATGTTGCCCAGGCTGGTTTCAAACTCCTGGGCTCAAGCAATCCTCCCACCCTGGCTTCTCAAAATGCTGGGATTACAGGCATGAGCCACTGTACCTGACCTGGAAACAAATTCTTACTTGTGATTTTTTCGAAATATCACTTGAGTGCAGACCCCCAACCCTCACCACCAACCCCCTCTATCGGGCTTAATGCCCGACATGCTCAAGGCCGGAGCAGCATCTTCGAGGAAAAGGCAAAAGCCAGATTAAGTCCACAGCCTCAGAACCTTCATTTTCCCGGACACACCTCTAGCCGGTCCACTTTGGCGTAGATCCCACGCATTTCTGTCAGTTTGGCCTTAAGGACTGGGATGTGTTCCTCCAGGATCTGTGAAGTATCACTCCTGATCTGCAAGGAACAAAACAGCTCATCAGGCCTTCTGCCCCATCACCATGTCCTCCTGCCCGCCTCAGAGGTTGGCCAGGGTCTATGCAGACCTCACTGATGGCTGAGGTGCCAGGTGGTGTCCTGCCCAAGACAGGCCCTAGAACAACCCAGAGCACCAGGGGAGGACCAACCTCGTTGCCTCTACGGACCCAGACCTACCGGGATATTATTTAACGAACCACAAATTAATCACTTAACACCAAACACCCAGCAACACCAGTCCCAAATTAAATATCTTCATTTTCTTTTTTTTTTTTTTTTGAGACAGAGTTTCACTCTTGTTACCCAGGCTGGAGTGCAATGGCGCGATCTCGGCTCACCGCAACCTCCGTCTCTTGGGTTCAGGCAATTCTCCTGCCTCAGCCTCCTGAGTAGCTGGGATTACAGGCACGCGCCACCATGCCCAGCTAATTTTTTGTAGTTTTAGTAGAGACGGGGTTTCACCATGTTGACCAGGATAGTCTCGATCTCTTGACCTCGTGATCCACCCGCCTCAGCCTCCCAAAGTGCTGGGATTACAGGCGTGAGCCACCGCACCCGGCCTAAATATCTTCATTTTCTAAATGATTGCACTGGAGCAAATGGAAAGAATTAGAATCTCTTCTCTAAACCAAAGCCAAAGTCAGTTCAGTTTTCATTGCATTGCAATTAATATTAATAAGTGGATCATTTTGATTAATATTCATTAATCCTGTTAATGAAAACCACAAGTCTCATGTACTAGATGCTTCCGACACTCAGGCACTGTGCTAAGTACTTCCTTGCACCGTTTCATTTTGTCTTCATTTTCTTCTGCTTGCAAGGGCCCCCAAAGTGAACTGTATGAAGCCATATATCTTTCCCTTGATCACTGAAATCAGATACCGATGGTTCCATTTTCCTTCAGAGCCCAATAACCAAGCCTAACTCTTCTGTGTGTGAGTGAGAGAGGAGAGATTCCATTTTCATGTCACCACATCTTTGCTGTGCAAAAAAAGACAATATACTTACGGTTCTCAAATTCTGGGGAGCGACTAGTGCGGTGGTTCACACCTGTAATTCCAGCACTTTGGAAGGCCCTGGTGGGTGGATCACCTGAGGTCAGGAGTTTGAGACCAGTCTGGCCAACATGGTGAAACCCCGTCTCTACTACAAATACAAAAATTAGCCAGGCATGATGGCGCACGCCTCTAAATCCCAGCTACTCAGGAGGCTGAGGCAGGAGAATCGCTTGAACCCAGGAGACGGAGGTTGCAGTGAGCCAAGATCGTGCCACCGTACTCCAGCCTAGGTGACAGTACAAGACCCTGTCTCTAAAACAAATAAAAATTCAAGTGGGGCTCCCATGAGAAATGGCTGGTTCTAGGACTGAGCTGAGCCTGGAGCATCTCGCAGCACCAGAAAGCAAGGAAGTGTTCCACTAAATACAGGATGGGGCTTACCCAAGGGACACAGAGCCAAGCTGCAAGAGTGACATGGCCAAAGCTGGGACAATCTGAGCAACAAAAAACTAACATAGTATTAGATCGTAACTCAAAGTACAAAGCAAATGTGCACAAGCTTAATACATGCAAAGAACTGAACGGGTCTGGAAAGGGGGAAATGGTAAATTCCATTGGAGAAAGCCGGCAGGCACCACCATATGCAGGTTTGCATCTGTGATGCCATGTGGGCACTGGGTGCCCTCTGATGGGATGCGATGAGAAGCCCCCCTCTGTGGTGACTATCCCATAAATTCCTGTCTCCAGTCTAACCACAAGAAAAACATCAAACCAAAATCGAGGGACCTTCTGGGAAGCACCTGACCAGCATGCCTCAAAACTGTGCAGGTGACAAAAAGCAAGGTATGACTGAAACTGTCACAGACCAGAAAAGACTAAGGAGATGTGAGGACCTCGTGCCATGTGGCACCTTAGACTGGATCCTGGAACAGAAAGAGCACCCTCATGGAAAACTGGTGACATCAAAACAAGGAGTGGAGTTCAGGGAACAGCAACACACCGATGCTGGTTTCTTAGGCTTTTTTTGGAGGGGGGAAGGCTGTTTCTTGTTTTTTTATAGGGCCTTGCTTTGTCACCCAGGCTGAAGTGCAGGGGTGCGATCATGGCTCATTGCAGCCTCGACCTTCTGGTCTCAAACAATTCTTTAGCCTCAGCGTCTTGAATAGCTAGGACTACAGCTGTGCACCACCACGCCCAGCTACTTTCCTATCTTTTGTAGAGAGACAGGGTTTCACTGTGTTGCCCAGGCTGGTCTTGAATTCCTGGTCTCAAGGTATCCTCCTGCCTAAATCCAAAGTGCTGGGATTACAGGCGTGAGCCATCATGCCTGGCCCCTTAGTACTGACAAATGTACCACGGTGATGTGAGATGTTAACAGAGGGAGCCAGGAGCTCAAGACCAGCCTGGGCAACATAGTGAGGCGCCATCCCTATTAAAAAACTAAAAGTGGTGGCCGGGCGCGGTGGCTCAAGCCTGAAATCCCAGCACTTTGGGAGGCCGAGGTGGGTGGATCATGAGGTCAGGAGATCGAGACCTTCCTGGCCAACATGGTGAAACCCCATCTCTACTAAAAATACAAAAATTAGCTGGGCATGGTGATGTGTGCCTGTAATCCCAGCTACTCAGGAGGCTGAGGCAGGAGAATCTCTTGAACCTGGGAGGCGGAGGATGCAGTGATCCCAGATCGTGCCACTGCATTCCAGGCTGGGCAACAGAGTGAGACTCCGTCTCAAAAAACAAACAAAAACAAAAAACTTAAAAGTGCATTAAAAAAACTTTAGGGTTAATATGGCAACTCTTTGAACAATCTTTGTAACTTTTTTGTCAATCTAATCTATTCCCAAATAAAATATACAAATGTAGTTTTTAAAACTCAAGGAATTAGGTCTAAATCTACAGCTTCTCTCAAGTCAACAGCTTTGGCAATAATGGGCCTGAATCTCCCCAGGCAGCAAAGGCTGGGGCTGCTCCCTCCAGATGGGCCTGAGCACTGGGGTTTCCACAGTCCTTTCCTCTCCCCAGTGGCCCACCCCGGCTCTGTTCTCTGTCTGACTCTAGCATTTGTTACCAGTGACAGGGAAAAAGTCCTGTCTCCTCCTTTTCTTCCCCAAGGCCGGATTTCTAGAGAGCAGCTCATCCCTTGACAAGGCTAAACTTGGAGAAAATCATCCTGATGTAGCAAAGAGCAGATAATTAACTCGAGGGCAAGGTCAGAACATGGGGGAACAAACTCGAATCTTATCTTTCTGTTAATTTCTAAAGAAACAAATCGGGGGAGAATCAGGGTATGGGCTGGGATTGGCAACATACAGGAGACAGAGAAAGTGACAGAGAGGAGATTCAAGACCACCCCTAGCTCCCAGAGAAAGTCCCTGGCAATGGGACTACTGGCTGCCACATCTTCACCTTCCCAAAGGCTTCCTTCTCTGATATTCTCCGGCCCTATTTCCAGGTTTATCATTATTCTCCTTTGTTTCTGCCTCCCCTAGAGGATTAAGGAAAAAAGCAGAGGCTCTTTCATTTAACTAGCCCAAAGAAAATAATATAAATCACATAAGGG